CTGAAACTTTTTTCACAGATATTAGAATTTTTGTTGGGATTTGACATTTTTTGTACGTTTACAAAATCAATATATATTTGTATTTAGTTATTTAGAGCTAAACAGTCAGAAAAAAAAATTGTTGACATAATCTACATAATATCTAGAAACACATGTATACACAAAAACATTTTTTTTTATTCTGTAGTGATATTACACAGAGTGCCTGCCAATTATTTAACAAAAAATATCATAAGTTCACCCCGCAAAGCCAGAAGAGAACTGGCCACTGTAACAATCGGACCTTTCTGTCCCGCGTTGTGTCAGAGTGACACACCCCCTGTCAGCGGAGAAGGACTCGTCAAAGACATTAAATGCACCTGTGCTGCCGACGCATCTGTGTCGAGTTGTAGCAATCAGGGACAGTATTTAGGTTGCTGTGTTTCGGTGGTCCAGTGCGGATCATAGAGTTTGACTACATTGTAATGTTCTTACGTGTGTTTGCCTGTGCTACGTGTTCCTGGTTAACAGTATGGTTTTGGTTGTTGTCCAACCACTATAATTTCGTAACGACGAAGTGTCGTCTCTGTTTCCTGTTCGCCGTCTCTAATTAAAGACGTTTTATTTTGGAAGCTCTGCGTTTGTGTCCTGCATACTGCCAGCAAACACCAATCGTTACAGCCACCCCCCAGAGCCTGCTTCCTTTCTAGGTTTCTTCCTAAATTTGACCCATCAGGGAGTTTTTCCTAGCCGCCAGGTATCAACTTTTATCAACTTGTTGATGTGTGCTCTGTCGGGTACAACTTTGTTGTAAAAACAGCTTTATAAAAATAATTTGATTGATTTATATTTTTGTTAATTTTGATGACCTTTATATTCTGGTCTAGCAGGATGATCCTAATAAACACACGAAAGCTCTAATCAGCAGATATTTTTGTTTTCAGACCGATTAATGAATGAACTTTCGATGGCTAGGTAACAACGTTTGTGCCGGCTGTCTCATGAAACCCCCAATCCCTGCACGCCAAACACAGAGTAGACTGCCCATCATATTCTCCTCAGTCACACCTACACTGTAAAAAAAATACGTAATTTTAACGGTGAAAGACTGTAAAGTAGCAACGGTAAAAAACTGTTTATATTATAACATGAATAAACTGTAGAATTAACAGATAAGTAACGTTAATTTAAATACAAGAAAGTTTGGTAACTTTAGCATTAGTGCGTTGTAAAAATTATATAATTTTACTGTAAAAACAACAGTAAAGTACACAAAACCCTTGAACGGTATATCTCTGTGTTTACGAATAAATACTTCTTAGGCAAATCGTTTTCATTACAGTATGCTATTCTCAACAATAGAAGAATCATCATTTAGAGGCGCTGCAAGAAAAAAGGCTACACCGCCGGACTGGTATTTTTGCTGTCCCTAGTAGCATTGGTATCGGTTAAATGCACATAGTTAAATATCAGAAATTGTGTTCATGTTTTATGAAACAAATAAAAAAATGTTAAAATTGTTACCTATATTATTAAAGTAAGGCCCGGGGGGGAATCGAGACACTGCAGTACGGATCCGCAGGCGAGCGTACTAACCACTACTCCACAGGGATATCCCATTCAGGGCTGTGTAGCACCAGCAGGGTTGATACAATAATATTACAGCTCATCTTCGTTAGTCGGAGGGACACGTACCTAATTAGTTATAAAACAATACATCTTTACCCGGACAAGAGACTTTTGTGCATGGACAAGTGAAACGCATATGTACTTTTCCAAAGGACAAGTGCCTCAAAAAGTGCCTTAAGCGCACCTGCGTGATCTCCCATTAGATTAGATGATTGTAATGACTCCTTGTTGAAAAGCATAGTTTTATGTGCATAATTATTAAAAGCTCAGTGTTTATTTTTTATTGGCTTTTCAGTTTTCCAATATGTGCCACGACGCTGCATAATATAAAGAACACATATTTTTAACAAGCATTTTATGTTATAATGTTTTAAAGTAAATTGCTTTTTGAATTGTCCAATAAGCATTCAACAAGTTGCATCACGTGCCTGGCGCGGTTTTTCTGGAACAGACAGCTAGCAAGAAGCAAGGCACCGACCATCACGAGCTGAAGAAATTACTTTTATACCGACACGAAATCCTAATTGACGTGGACTGTCTAGACGGTAAAGTTTTATCCTTTTAATATATAAACCTACTTTGGAAATATCTTATGTTCAATTGAAACTCATAAAGGTTTGTAACAGCTTTATTGGAAAAGAACGAATTCTCTCAGATTTCTTTGATTCAAAACGTTTGTGACGCAGTTTAGCTAGCAGTAGGCTATGTCGTGCTATAAGAATTGCTAGGTAGAATATCTTGCATTGGTTATTGGTTGAGTTCAGGATGAGTAAAACTTAACTTAAGTTTTGAAAGTGAATTAAAATGTACTCTTTTACCAGTCATATGTCTAGGAAGCACAGGAACTGTTCTGTAAACAGTATTAGCGATTCTTCATCAGAGACACTGTCTGTTTCAGCTGAGCAATGTCCTGCTGACCTAGATGCAAATACATGTGTGTCAGAATATAGTGAAATGGGCTCGTTTCAAGATTTTGACGATTTGTATTTGAGAAATGTTAGCCTATTTTATCTGAAATTACAAGGACAGTTTCTTCTCCCAGCGTCTTCAATACAAAATATAAAACTGTTAATTTACAGTTACATTGTCAGAATGGCTGGTTGTGAATGTCAGCACACGGAGATTGAAGCTCCAAATTATACTAAAACCAAAGGCATTTTATTGTTTTTTTTGTCTGTAGGATCTTCCTGCTACGGATCTAACAACTCGGCACATTTTAACGTTCATCTCTGCAGTGTGCATGATGTTTGGCAGTTACTATGTTTTAACATTCATTACCCACTGGAACTGCTACTCTGGAGTTCATGCAAAGGTAGGCATTCATAAATGTTTTCGGGTGTGCATCATTTAAATTTTCTTGTTAACTATTCATCAGTGTATATATTTGTTTTAGCAACAAATGAAGTAATTCAAATCTCTGTTCAAGGTGCTTCTTCAGCATAAACCCTGAGAAAGGCACCAAAGTTGAGTCAAGAAAAAACAGCTCCCGGTGAACCCCGAGTCCCTACGCTCATAGCAGACCTTGCTGATCATGAATGGAGAGAAGATTAAGATGCTTGGACTTGGAATGTGAAAAACTACTCAGCCTAAATGCAAGTCTTGTCCTCTTAGAGAGCTATTTTCTGGCGTATATATTTTGTAATACTATTGCACATATCTTTATGCGTCTTTACCCCAACTGATGTTCTGTGCATTTGTTTGTTGTGTGTGGTCAGGGCCAGAGGTAACATCTGACGTACTCTCCTGAGTAGGCTATATTGGTGTTGGCTGCTCAAATCATTCCTTATAGCAGTGGTTCCCAAACCTCTCCTGGGGACCTCCAGCCGTCTCACAATGTTGTTGTGGCCCTGATCTAGCTCACCTGAATCAAACAGCCACGGCCTTGATAATTAGTTAACAAGTTGATTCAGGTGTGCTGGCTCTGGGATACATCTAATACATGGAACGGCTGTGGGTCCCCGGGAGAGGTTTGGGAACCACTGCCTTATAGTACCATGCCACTAGTAGAATAGAATAAAATATATATTTTTGGTAAAATGTCACTTAATATATTCTATTCTACTAATGTACTATACCAGTAATGACTTGAGCCACCAACAAAACATTGTGTGCCTAAAATATATATATATTTTTTGCACAGTGATGTTTTTCATGTCATTATATTATGCAATTAAGTTTTGTGCATCTAAGATTGTAAACACATGTATGTTAATCTTGAGTTCAAATTGAGTCCATTAATCCATTGTTTAGAATGGTGTGCTGTCTTAAGTTTATTGATTGTGTGGCTTTCTGGTAAAGATTGGAATTATTCAAAATGTTTGTTCTGCAAGCTAAAGCCATCGGTCTAAGTATGTATTTACTTTGTGATATTTTAATAAAAAGTGTATTTTCCTTTTATACCAGTTCTGAATAATTTTTTATAGCAACTAAAACTGCAACTACTGTAAATGTTACATTTCACTTTTAAGAATTCTGTAATTAGAAGAACATTTCAAACATATTTTTTTACGGTAGACTTCTGCCACAGTTATCAGTTCTTTACTGTAAATTACACAGGATTTTCTGAACAAAAGAACATTTCGACTGTATTTCTTACGGGAGACTACTGCCACAGTTATCAGTTCTTTACTGTAAATTTCACAGGATTTTCTGGACAAAAGAACATTTCAACCATATTTCTTACAGTAGAATTCTGTCACAGTTATCAGTTGTTTACCGTAATTTTCACAGGACGTTCCTCACAAAAGAACATTTCAACCGTATTTCTTACGGTAGACTTCTGCCACAGTTGTCAGTTCTTTACCGTAAATTTCACGGAATTTTCGCAACTGAAGAACATTTTGACCGTATTTATTACGGTAGATTTCTGCCACAGTTGTCAGCTTTTTCTGTAGATTTCACAGGATTTTAGTTAACAGAAAAACATTTCAACCGTATTTTTTACGGTAGATTTCTGGCAACCACAGCTGCCAGTTTTTTACCGTATATTTTACGGGATTTTTTTTACAGTGTAGAGTCATCTGGTTGTGTGACATTTGCATGTCAGGCTATTATCCATTCAGTTGATGACAGGTAAGAATCAATATACAGATGATACAGACTCAGCTGGGTGAGGGTGGGGTTGTGGGTGGATGTGATTGCAGCACTACACCTTTATAAATCTGTCTATTTAGTTAGTCGACATAAAGTTGACTCTACACCTTCCAGAGAGGACTTCTTCCATTCAGGTTTGTTCTTTTTATTAAAACTTTGTCTCAAAAAAAAAATCAATGGTTTTAAGGGTATGTGCTTTATAAATTAAATAACTTTAGGTTTACTGAAACTTTAAGATGTTCGTATTATGGTTATTTTGAACGTAACAGCTTTACAGCTTTAACACCTAGCTAGGAGCATTTGGTGTAGCTCAGTGGTGGAGTGCATGTACTGTATGTATGAAGTCCTGGGTTCAATCCCCAGCTTCTTCCCAGGTCACCGTTGCAAATGAGAATCTGTTCTCAATCGACCTACCTGGTTAAATAAAGGTTAAATAAAATAATATAAATAGTCTGGTCCAGTCAAATAAATGGTCCAAATAACTGAACCACGGTCCGCTTGAACAAGGTCGTCTCTGTCCACTTCCAAGTAAATCATCTCTCGGAATTGTGGGTTTCCTAGAATGATCTTCGGCATTGTGCCAGCTAGCTGAAATAAGTCACTAAATAGCTAAAATGGCGAGTGGCAGACAAATAGGGGATATAAAAAGTCTACCCCTAAGATAGCAGAAAACTGATATCTTTGAGGAGGAAAAACAATAACCTGGTTGCATTAGTGCGCACACCCATAAACTAATAGTTTGATGAACCTCCTTTTGATTGTATTACAGCACTCAGTCTATTTGGGTAGGAATAGGAATAGGTATTTGCCCAATTTTTTTTTCAATCTTTCAAATTTTCCCTCCACCCTGACTAAGTTCCAGCTGAGGAAAACCCCCCAAAGCATTATGCTGCCACCACCATGCTTCTGTGGGTATGGTGTCATGCGGGTGCTGTGCGGTGTGTTCCTTTGCGGCATACATACATTTTGGAGTTATGGCCAAAAAGTTTAACATTGGTTTCATCAGCCCATAACACATTTGACGACATGCTTTTAGGAGACTTTATGTTAGTTTTTGCAAACTTCCGCCGTGCTTGGATGTTTTTCTGTATAGGCTTCCGTCTTGCCCCCCTACCCCATATCCCATACATATGAAGAATACAGGAGATCACTGTCACAAATAGCACACAGCCGGTACTGGCCAGAAATACCTGCAGCTCCTTTAATGTTGCTGTAGGCCTCTTGGAAGCCTCCCTGACAAGGTTTCTTCTTGTCTTTTCAACAATTTTGGAGGGAGGTCCAGTTCTTGGTAATGTCTCTGTTGTGCTATATTTTCTCCACTTGATGATGACTGTCTTCACTGTGTTCCATGGTATACTTTTTCTTTAAAGAATCAGATCCTTTATTATTGATTAATCAGAGTCCCTTTAATGATGGCAGGTGTGTGATGACGGAGGAATGGAGGAATGCTGGTACCAGGTGGTCTACAATCACAAGTGACTGACGCTCAATGTAGTCAATGGGATTTTAGGAACATGATATTTAACTGAGTACCAAATTGCAATGTGTTACCGATTATATTATAGGCTCAATCTCTGTCCACAAAATCAGCCACATGCTGTTGGGTTTCTGGGTAAAATAGTGTGATGTTTGACATGAGTTTAATTCTCTAGAATGAGAGAATTAAAACAACTGTAATCACGTCAATCAGTGAAATGTCAGAGTATACCAAAACACTGCAGAACGTAATATTGAAGTTGCAGAGTTATCACATGTGTAATGTAAACCAGATTGTAAACAGAGTTATTATCTCAGTTAGGAAATACATTTTAATCGAAATATTATATAAATCAGAGAATTATTTAATGCAAACACAATCAGAAAGATATTTTCTTGGATTCAATATGCTAAAATTGTATTTTCTTATTCATGGATTCCTTGTCATTATGGACTACTATAGCTGACACCCCGATGTAGAAGGTGACAACATGAACATATCAACATCAAACATCTCTTCAGTAATGAACCTCCAAGCCGACACAACCTTTCGTCAGGCTGTCTGTGCAGTCAACCTCCTCCTGGGTGTCCCCACCAATGGATACATCTTGTGGCTCATAGTGACCGGAGTAGGAGGTTCTATTACTACTGACTTCTTCGCACTCAACCTGTCTGTTACCCGAAATCCTCTTCTGCTTGTCTTCAGTCATATTCATTATTGGTGAACACATCCAAACCACTGTATTTATGAAAATTGGGAGATTTGGTTTTTGTACATTGTACACCAGTCGACCCCTGTTCCAGTGCTGTATCTGTGTGGAGCGTTATCTGGCAGTGGTCCATCCTGTTATCTTCCTGAGGTACAAACCTCTGAGATACAGGGTGAGTTGTTGTGGGACTGTATGGCTGGTAGTTGTTGGTGCCTGTCTGTTTGATCTTTTCACAGGTGATTCACCGGAAAACGACTATACATTTTTGGTTGTGTACATCATATTAACATTGGTGATGTTATTCGGCTGTGTCTCAATTCTCAGGGCTCTGAAACAGCCCCGCCCAGGGGGAGGGACCAATGAAGAGGAGGGGCCAAATAACAGGAAGAGGAGGGTGTTTAAGAACATTGTGACAATCCTGGTGTCCACACTAATTATTTACCTTACTGTCATTATAGAGACGTCTGTTAGCCCTCTCCATAATAACATTGAGAAGGAATTATTCTGGGGCATTTCTCTATCTGTTACTGTTATCGCTGGATTTGTTCAGCCCCTCCTCTTCCTCCACAAGGCAGGTAAACTGCCCTGCATAAGAGGACATGAATAGGTGGTAACAATATAATATAACTTCTGTACACACCAATGCTTCTGAACATGAACTGAGCTTTACTTGAATATGTGTCTATCCTGGAGCAACTACTTAAAACAGAAGACATACATCTGTTTATATATTCGTAAAAAAAGTTTTTTATGTACACATTCAACAAGAAGATGTAATGAAGTAAATCATATTTTAATGGTGAAAAATAATTAAATAGATATGTACGACAAAAATGTACATGTTGGAAAGCCATGCATGCTATCTAAAATGTAGTTTGTAATATTCGCAAGTTAAATCTGGTATACCAATTTTATGGAAATCTTGATCATCTCCAGCCACCAGGGTGGCATTTATGTAAATTATTGTTATTTGCCTCTGACCTTAGTTTTTTTCTGTCCTTTTATTTTTTTATTTTTTCAATTTTAAATGGTCGTTGAACATACTATTTACAAAATAAAAAAATACAATTATATTTTACTCTATCTCAAAACTGTCAAGAAAAAGTATCTACTCTTTTTTAAAAGCATGGAACCGTAGTTGCAGTCTACATATTCAATGACTAGAACATTCCTTTCATTTCAGTTTTTTTGCTATTTGCTTTATTTTGTGAGTGGTCATAAGGTCATTTTTTCAGGGAATATATAAAACAATCTTTTAGAAGCAAATAATCAGAATTTTGTTATAAAATGTATTGAAAAGTTATAGTTCCAAATCCTCAAGAAGGGCAGCATGTGAACAAAATACAAAAGCTACAGATTTATGTATGGTACAAAAGCAATGTTGACGCAAGCTTAGTTTCTGGCGTCATCAGTTAAGTGATACATTGCAAAATTGTTAATAAAATGCTCTTTTATGTTGTCTCTTTATTACTTGAAAAGCAGGTATTGTTTTCTGTTTTACCAAAAATGTTATTGATTTATTTCCGTTTGTTAACCTTCATTTGCGACCCGTTCAAACATTCAAATGCATAAATATCCAAATCATAAATTGCTATGGAGCAACAGTCAAAACAATTGATTAGGTAGTCAGTACCAGCAGCCAAATAGTGAGTCAATATTAATCTATAGTTATTAACCTTTTATGAATGAACCCACAAAAGCTCATTAGATTAATTTTATACACCTAACTATCGACATTTGCACAGTTGAACAACACAGTTAGTGTCAATTAACACATTTCTGCAATGTGTTGGTGCTCTCCAAGACAGAGCATGATCTGAAGTGCAGTGGTATTTCTGTAGATTGTGAAATTCATCTAGGGTAATAAGTGATGATACTGTGTGATAATTGCATTTGTGATTCAACCTTAATGGCTGTCTCAAACTAAAAGGTTGGAAAAACAAATGCAGGTGGACCCCATCGATGTGACTGAAGGATAGATCTCATATCAGTGGTGAACGCACCAACAATTAGTTGAGGTTTGAGTATAATATTGTCTTCTTTCAAACAGGACGGAGCATATTGTCCTCATTCACATCTACACAGGACACAGTATATTGTCTTCATTCAAACACAGGACACAGCATATTGTCTCATTCACACCTACAGTCACTGACTGGTGGGACTTGGATTACATTTTGCATGTCAACATTTGCATGTTTGCTTTTATTATCATGTTGATGATTGGTCAGAAACAACACACAGGTGGACGAGGGTGGGGTTATTGTCACGTATCCTGGGTGTAGTGTGGTAGGAACCAGGTTCAGGCCGAAATCACGTTCGATTTGTTTTTAATTCAATAAAAAACAGACCATGAACTGCGAAAAAACTTAACTGTACCTCAAAAATAAAGTGTGCAGGATAGCAACTACTAAATAAACAAATATGTCTATAAGTAACACAGACAACAATAAGTAACAAACACTCACCTATGCATTGTTATCCCGATGAGTGAAAACAATGTGACCACATGCCTAATATGTTGTTGGTCTTCCCTGTGCCGCCAAAACTGTGTTGACCTGACAAGGCATTGTCTCTACAAGACCAGGACCATGTCCTGTGGTGTCTGACACCATGACATTACATCAGACCCCTGATGGTGTCCTGTTGTATCTGACATCATGACATTACAGCAGACCCCTGATGGTGTCCTGTGGTATCTGACATCATGACATTACAGCAGACCCCTGATGGTGTCCTGTGGTATCTGACACCATGACATTACATCAGACCCCTGATGGTGTCCTGTTGTATCTGACATCATGACATTACAGCAGACCCCTGATGGTGTCCTGTGGTATCTGACACCATGACATTACATCAGACCCCTGATGGTGTCCTGTGGTATCTGACATCATGACATTACAGCAGACCCCTGATGGTGTCCTGTGGTATCTGACATCATGACATTACAGCAGACCCCTGATGGTGTCCTGTGGTATCTGACATCATGACATTACTGCAGACCCCTGATGGTGTCCTGTGGTATCTGACATCATGACATTACATCAGACCCCTGATGGTGTCCTGTGGTATCTGACATCATGACATTACAGCAGACCCCTGATGGTGTCCTGTGGTATCTGACATCATGACATTACAGCAGACCCCTGATGGTGTCCTGTGGTATCTGACATCATGACATT